AGAGAGTGATGGTGCACGCTGCTCTGTCTCTGGGGATCTGCAAGCCAAGGTAGCGGCGCAGCTCTCCTAGGTCTGTGCAGGTGTGTCTCCTCAGCAGCTCGGTCTTCACGGCGGCCAGTGCATTACTGTCTGCAGTAGCAAAGAACAGATCGTCTACGTAGACAAGGATGTAGAACGGAGTCTGGCCGGAATGGACAAAGAGCGAGGGGTCTGCATATGATGGGAAGAACTAGAAGTCAGCAAGTGTAGCACGCAACGTGCCGTGCCACTCATGGAGCCCTGTTGCAAGCCGTAGACGGGGCGCCGGAGGAGCCACTCAGTGCCAAGGGGGAAGGTACCGGAGAAGCCCTGGGGGCGGCACAGGTAGACTTGCTCGTGTAGACGGCCTTGGAGGAAAGCTGTGGAGAAGTTGAGGGAATGCAGCTCGTAGTCACGCTGTGCTGCTACGTGTAGCAGCGCCCGAAGAGTGGTCATCTTCGGGGTTGGGGCGAAGGTCTGAAAGAAGTCCACCCCCTCATGCTGATTGAAGCCTCGAGCGACGTAGCGCGCCTTGAAGACAGGCGGCTCTCCAGGAGGGCGCTTCCCCTCGAAGAGCCACCAGCCATCGACTAAGTTCACCCCAGGTGGGGGAACTGCGTCGACGAAGGTACCGGTGGATCTCCAAGATGCCATCTCCTGCTCCATGGCAGCTATCCATTGAGAGGCTCAGGGTACAAAGGTGGCCTCATCGTAGGTGCGAGGGGTCGGGATGTTGAGGGCGTCTGGGTCACCCTCAAGGACTAGTAGTAGCATGGAACAGAGATGGGGAGCGGCCTCAGACAGGAAAGCGAGCTCGAACTACCTGTTCTCTAGGACATCACTGCCAAGAGCAGCCAAACCCCCGACGGTCGGAGGGCACGCAGGGTCAGAGACCAGAGCGGTGGCATAGTCCAGGCGGCGGGTAGCGGCAAAGTCAGTAACAGCAGTGACAAGAGCTGACAAACTCGAGACAAGAACGGACGGTTCGGTTACGAGAGAGGCAAGGCCACGAGGTACAAGGGGATGCGCAACAGAGAGGAAGTCCGAGAACGGAGGCGGGGCCACAGCAAGCGACGACGGAGGAGGAGACGGGAGGGGAGGAGGAGCACGAGACGCGTGAGAGCGAAGCAACATAGGGTGAGAACGTGGAACATGGGAGGTAGGACGAGCACGAGACGGACGACGAGACCAGACGTGAGACGGAGGAGTCGGGTCAAGAGAGAGGGGAGGAGACACAGGAGGAGAACGGGGAGGAAAACGAGCCGGAGAGGAGTCTGGGGGAGGAAACACGGGGCCGTGGACCGGTAGAGGAGGACGGCGAACGACCACAGAAAATGGGGTGAACCGGCATGGATCATAGAGGTACGAGCCACCTCCATGACCAAACCGATGCGTCGCTCAGCGACCTTATTCTGCTGCGGGGAGTCCGGCAGGGTGAACGTCTGGGTGATGCCCTCCACACGACAGAAGCGACCAAGGCAGCCAGAGGCAAACTCGCCACCACGGTCGGAGTGAAGACGTAAGACAGGGAGACCTCAATGAATAAGCGCAAAGACAAGCCACGGAAGAAGAACGTCAGTCACGTTGGCCTTCCGCTCTAGGCGAAAGACGGTGGTGTATCGGGTGTAGTCGTCGACAAACACTAGGAAGTGGCGCTCGCGATGCGGCCCATGGACGGGGGCGGGGCCCCAGACGTCCATGTGCAGGGTCTGCAGCGGTGCGGAGGTAGGGGGGAACGAGGAGGAGTGAGGGGCACGGCGGAGCCGGCCCTCGACACAGGGCGTGCACGGAGGCGTGGGTGAGGAGGGGAGTGTAGGGAACGAGTCAGGGAGGCCTAGGACAAGACAGTGCTGGAACATGTGATGGAGATGGGTGAGGGCGAGGTGACCTAGTCGGTGGTGCCACAGAAGTGACGGGTGAGTAAGCGACGAACACGAGCACGCTGCAGCAACCTGGAAAGACGCAGGTACCTAGGGAGGCGTCCCAACCGGGGGGGAAGCGGTGTCCAGCGTGAACAGGCCAGATACCGGGTCCCGGGGGAACGTGGTGAGGGGGGCAACAGTGGCGGCCTCAGTACAGACAGCGTACCTCTCGTGCCCAAGGAACGTAGTGGTGACGCCAAGGTCCTGGAGGCAGCCGACACCAACTAGGTTCCTAGAGAACGAGGGGATGTGCAGGCCTGTAAGGGAGCCTGAGGGAACCGCCGGACAGGGGAGAGTAGTGGAGCTACGGGCAACTACAGGACCGGAGGAAGGGTCTGCAAGAGCAACTGCAGCCGGAGCGGCAAGCGGCGTAAGCGTCGTGGAGTCGCGAAAGAAACACCGGGAAGCGTCAAAGTCCAAGGTGAAGGAGAGTGCGGTAGCGGCGACAGAGGTCGGAGGAGCAAGGGAGGACCCTAGGCTAAACAAAGTTGGGGATCCTACGCCTGACGCAGTAGGGGAGCCTAAACTAGGCACACTGGGCACACCTACGCTAGGCAATACAGAATAATAGGAACCAGTCACATTAGAGTCAACAACATATAGCGCATACAAAGCAGAGCTAATCTCATCCATGTCCATATCAAAGATCTGAACACGACGACGGAGCAGACTGTGCCAGTCGATGAGGTCAGGCGACGGGCCGAAGCGGAGACGAAACAGGTCGTCTAGGCAACGAAAGCAACGAGCGGGGGTATGGCCGATCTTACCGCACAAGAGGACACGGCGAGGACCGGTCTAGAGCTGGTACTGGCAGCGCCCGTCACTCTGACTACCACCTGACAACATGCCGCGCGAGCGACCACTGCGACCATCGTCACCTCCAGCTCCAGGCCACCCGGGCGGGAGATGGCCGACCCTCCGCTGCTGCTGCTGCTCCTGCTGCTGCAGTTGCTGCTGGTCCAGCTGCGGAGCCTGCTGCTGCTGCTGGTGGGGCTGCTGCTCCGGGGCACCAGCCCCAGCCCCCTCGTCGGTACTACCAGCGGGCGAGCCACCTCCACTACCGGCACCACCCCCTTCTCCGCTACCTCCGCCGCGCCCAGCCTTGGGGCGCCGACCCTTACCCGGACGAAACTGCACGGCGGCAGCTATCTCCACAGCCAGAGCTGTCTCAGCAACCACAGCAGAAACGTCGGAGTGAGAGCACTGAGCAGGGGCACAGCCCTGAAAGATAGAGACTGGCACGGTTCTGCTAGACTGGGCGATAGAGCGCTGACGGGTCTCTATGGCAGACAGGGTGTCGACAAAGTCAGTGAGGGTAAGGTCAGCGGGGTGGAGACTAAGGAAGTGATCGCGAGCGGTGGAAAGGCGGTCAGGAAGGTGGGTGGCAAGCAAGTAGAGAGTAGAGCAGATGGGGGGATGAAACACACGAAGCTGAGCCTAAATGCAGGCAGCGCGCCAGGTCGTGTCTAGCGTGCGCAAGTGGGTGGCTAGGTCAGTGACAGTGGGGAAAGACACAAGGTCAGGATAGAGCATGGGCAGGATCAGGCGACCTACAGAGGCAAAGGGCGGGGTAGAATAGCGCGCAACAATAGCCTCTAGGAACTCCTGCGCAGTCCTGACAAACCTAAAGCGGGGGTGCTCCGACAGGGGAAGGGCATGACTAATCGCAAGCTATGCGACAGCGTCACGCGACAACCAGACCGCACGAGCAAGGGTAGCAGCTCCAGCGGACTCACGGTCAGCAGATGTGGGGTTAGCGGGGAGGGCAACAAGGGGGTCCGGGAAGGGGAGCATACCATCGATGTGGATGGCCAGGGAGTGGTCGTCCTGCCGCTGACCAGTCAGATGTCGCTGGAGGTCGACTAGCCACGAGTCAAACTCAATCGGCTGCCCCTCAGCATCAAAACGCAGGATCGAGTCGGCCATCATGGTTGCAGCAGCAAGAGAAAGACAGTACTCGGCAGGAGAGCGCGGCAAAAAGCGGTGATGCGCGATGCAGTGCGGTACTGTGCGGTGGAGGGAGGTGCAGCACAGTGCGGTGCAGGGCGGTGCCGTGCGGTGCAGAGCAGCCGAGGACGGCGGCGAGGTGTCTAGAAGACGGGGCCGCGGGTGGCAAGGCGATGGGGCCGGCAAAGAGGCGGGGCCGGCAGGGAGACGGGGCCGGCTTGGGGGGGGGGGGGGGGGGGGGGGGGGGGGGGGGGTGCGCGAGGTGTCGGGGCCGCGGGGCCGCGAGGTGACGGGGCCGCGGGGCCGCGAGGTGACGGGGCTGCGGGGCCGCGAGGTTACGGGGCCGCGGGGCCGCTAGGGGACGGGGCCACGGGGCCGCAAGGGGATGGGGCCGCGGGGCCGCTAGGTGACGGGGCTGCGGGGCCGCGAGGTGACAGGGCCGCAGGGCCGCTCTGGGCAATGGCCGCGGGGACGCTAGGGGACGGGGCCGCGGGCCCGCTAGGTGACGGGGCTGCGGGGCCGCACAGTTACGAGGCCGCGGGGCCGCTAGGGGACGGGGGCGCGGGGCCGCTAGGTGACGGGGCCGCGGGGCCGCTAGGGGACGGGGCTGTAGGGCCGCTAAGAGACGAGGCCGCGAGGCCGCTAGGTGACAGGGCCGCGAGGCCGCTAGGTGACGGGGCCGCTAGGGGACGGGGCCGTGGGGCCGCTATGGGACGGGGCCGCAGGGCTGCTAGGTGACGGGGCCGCGGGGCCGCTAGGTGACGGGGCCGGGTTGCCGTTAGGGGACGGGGCCGCGGGGCCGCTAGGGGACGGGGCTGCGAGGCCGCTAGGGGACGGGGCCGGGGCCGGGGAGCTACTATGTAACGGGGCCGCGGAGCCGCTAGGTGACGGGGCCGCGAGGCCGCGAGGTGACGGGGCCGCGGGGCCGCTAGGGGACGGGGCCGCGGGGCCGCTAGGGGACGGGGCCGCCGGGCGACAAGGCGGCTAGGACCTAGGGCGGAAGCGCTAGAGGGGGGGGGGGGGGGGGGCACCTACCTACTCATGATACCATGTTCAAGTGAAAGAATAACTAGAACAAGGCATACAAAGGAGTAAAACCTAATGGTTTGTACTCCCTAAGGCACAACCCTATATAGTCTACAAAAACATACAATATATGTTTGACGCACTATTTCCTGCTCAATGTTAGTATTTAATTTATCTAAAAATATGATACTGGTAACTAACAAACACCCTAAAAGTCACTAAAGGGAATTAAACCAAGATAGCCTTCCCTCCCAGCTAGGAGACCCACATAACTGGCAAAACGGCAACGAAGAACCCATGAAGATCAACATCACGCATCACAAGGAAACTTGCTCCCAAAAAACACCAACTACCAAGGTTCTTGTGGTTGTCTGATGCACTCATGGAGACCCAACACATGGGTCACCGGCGTTGGAAGAACACGTTGGAACCGGTGATTGGAAGCGTTGCCCGCGCTTGCACATGTTGCCCACCGAGCTCGCAAACATGAGATTGTTACGGTCTTTATCTGTCAGAGTGTAGACGAAGACGCCCGATCTCGATGGTTTCGCCAGGACCCTTGTGGCTTTGCTAGTCTTGCACTGGGCCCAGTTCTGGGCTGGCGCACCCAATGGTGTAGCAGTGATGTCAATAATGAACTGAACAATGTCCGAGCGCTGTCGCCAGACAAAAACTGCGAGAGACAGGCAATGGGAACGGTGCAAAGAGGTATAAAGGGAATGCCGGCAAGGAACTGTGAATTGCTGGAGAGCTGTAGCCAGACGAGAGTTGCAAGGAGCACAGGTAGTAAGAGTGGGTGGGGGGTGGTTCATTTGTCTCACTGGGGGAATGGTGGGGCGTGGAAAAGGGGGTGAAGGGGAGTGGGAAAATAGTGATTTTGGGCCACTGTGAAGGAGTATGGGGAGGGGGGTGCGGAAAGCGGGGCGCACCAAAGCTTTGAGGCAAAAACCAAGGCTCCAGAACCACCTGGAAAAAGCAAAGCAGAGTATGGAGAGGAGCCCTGGGTTGAGGGGAATGGGGGACCGTGGAATCTAAAGGCGTGTGTATGTGTGTGCTCTCACCCCCTTTTCCCTCTCACCTCCTCCCCCCCCCTCCCCCCTCCCCCCCCATCCCTCTTCTCCATCAACCGCACCCACACAGCCAAAACTCCAGTGCTCTCACCTTTCTCTCCCATTCTCCCTCTCCCACTCCTATCCACACCGCACTCAACTGGCTTATCTCCCACCTTGTCGCCCACCTCATCCCCTACCTTATCGCCCTCTTTAATGTCTTTGTTACCATGAATGCATGTCGTCTCTATCCCTCCCTCTCAGCTCCTCCTCATGCCCTCTCTCTCTCTCCCTCAATTCCTCTCATGCCCTCTCTCTCTCTCCCTCAATTCCTCTCATGCCCTCTCTCCCCCTCCCTCAATTCCTCTCATGCCCTCTCTCCCCCTCCCTCAATTCCTCTCATGCCCTCTCTCCCCCTCCCTCAATTCCTCTCATGCCCTCTCTCTCCCTCCCTCAATTCCTCTCATGCCCTCTCTCTCCCTCCCTCAATTCCTCTCATGCCCTCTCTCTCCCTCCCTCAATTCCTCTCATGCCCTCTCTCTCCCTCCCTCACTACCTCTCATGCCCTCTCTCCCTCACTACCTCTCATGCCCTCTCTCCCTCACTACCTCTCATGCCCTCTCTCCCTCACTACCTCTCATGCCCTCTCTCCCCCTCCCTCACTCCCTCTCATGCCCTCTCTCCCTCCCTCACTCCCTCTCATGCCCTCTCTCCCTCCCTCACTCCCTCTCATGCCCTCTCTCCCTCCCTCACTCCCTCTCATGCCCTCTCTCTCCCTCACCATTCCCTCTCATGCCCTCTCTTATCCCCCCTCATTCCCTCTCATGCGCGCTCTATCCCCCCCTCTCCCTCTCCTACCCTCCCTCTCTCTCCTTCCCCTACCCTCCCTCTCTCTCCCTCTCATATCCTCTACGTCCCTCTCTCATGCCCTCTCCATTCCCATCTAATTTGTGCACACTCACCCAGCTTGCAACGCACTCAGCCTCTCCGCACCGCACTCAGCCTCTCCGCCCCGCACTCAGCCTCTACACACCGCACTCAGCCTCTACACACCGCACTCAGCCTCTACACACCGCACTCAGCCTCTACACACCGCACTCAGCCTCTAAACACAGCACTCAACCCCATCGCACTCACTCAGCTGGTCGCCCGTTTTGATGGGCGGGCACTTCCATTTGAGTGTCAGAGGGCCCCACGGCGAGTACCTCAAGTACCCGCCCACATATACTTTCTTCGCCTGGCAGCAGGAACGAGAAGGGGCAAAAGAAAAGAAAAGAAAAGAAAAAGGTGGGGAACCTGAAACGCACTTTCAGGCCCACGGCGAGAACCTCAAGAGCCCGTCCACATATACTTTCTTCGCCTGGCAGCGCGTGGGTTGAGGGGTGGTTACCACATGGAGGGATGGGGCGAACGGAACGAAAATGGGCAAACGGGGAAAAAAATGTGGGGAACTCGAGACTCGCTTTTTGGCCCCGGGGGAGTACCTCAAGAACCTGCCCGCATAGATGGCCTTCGCCTGGGGAGGGGAAAAAAAAAGGGCCCAAAAAAAAAAAAAAAAAAAAAAAAAAAAAAGCAGGGGAGGCAACATCGCTCTTGGTTTTCCATCAGGGTAGCCTCATGCGTTTTCTAGAGTGGGGACAATCGAGAGTGGGAATAATCGAGCTCGGGAATAATCGAATGGGAATAGTCGAGAGTGGGAATCATCGAGAGTGGGTTTAATCGAGAAATCGCGAGTGGGTTAAATCGAGAGTGGGATAGCCTAGGACAGTCCGTGGGGGTCCCGCTGGTGGGCCGGGGACAGGCGCCCACAGAGGCGCGAGGGGAGAGTGGAGGTTGGGGGGGGGGGGGGGGGGGGGGGGGGGAGACGAGGACGAGGAGGGGAGAGAGAGAAATAGGCGTGCTTGTGTTTGTGCTTGTTTTACCTGCACTTGCTCGACGGCTGTCGACGAGGCGAGATAGAGTCGCAGACAGGAGGTCGGAGTGGGCGACGCAAAGAAGACGGAGACGAGGTGGAATGGGAAAACGACCGGGCGACGAGGGACGAGCAATGGGCGACGGGCGACGGGCGACGGGAGACAGGGAAGATAGGGCGGGGCAGAAGGGAAGAACGCAGAGGGACAGAAGAAATGGGGGAGCAGATAGTGTATGCGGGGTGAGCCGTGCGGAGTAGAGCAAAAATGCAATGGGGGTGCAGATAGCGTATGAGGGGGGAGCCATGTGGAGTAGAGAAAGTAGCGATAGGGGAGAAAATGGCGTATGCGGTGCTGTAGGAACAGAAACGGGAAGCGCAAAAAATTGGAGGAAACGCAGACAACGGGGCCAACACCGCGCGAGAAGAAAATGAAGTAGCAATCGGCAAGAGAGGAGAGAGAGAAGCGCGTACTCGAGAGAAGCACGAGAACCGAGATAGTCGCTACTAAGGCGAGCGAAACGCGCGCGGTCATGGCTGTAAGGCGTTTTGAGCCGTCTCAAAATTGGAGGCGTGCAACGAAGGTTTCCGGCACTCGGCGGAACAATGCTATCGTTAATGGCGCGGAGGCGGGGAAGTGGAGGAGGAAGAAATGCAGGAAGTCGGGGCTAAACTGGATTGATTGTGCTCACAAACGGTTGACCCTATTGGAGGAGGAACTAGAAATGCATTGGCTGCTATCAGCACTAGTATGTTGTAGAACGTAGGTTACAGGGCTGTACTTTTGGGGTGTTGGTTTGGTTGGTTGGGTCTGGGGGATGACCAGGAAGTGATAGGAAATGGCGAGGACAGGAAGGAAGGGTCGAGGAGCAGCAGTTCAGTGGTGGAAGTTTGGTGAAGTCGTTTGTTGTCGGCGATATCATTTTTGCCGCGTTCCTGGCTCTTGTCAATCTTCGTGTCAATTACCCTAAAATGAGTCCTCGTAGCTAAACAGCTGGAAATCTGTTAAGGTTTTTGATGTGAAATGATACGTGAGCCACGAGTGCGCACTTAGCCAAGAGAAGGAAGAACTTTGCTCCGTTTCGGTAAACGCATACGTCCCTGGAAACCGAAAATCTATCACCTCACACCGACGTGCCACCGAAAACTCACCCACCAAGCCTGCAACGTGCGCGCGGCGGCGACGGAAGCAAGCTGGCTATCACAGAAAACGACATCACTGTGGCGTCTATAGTGTCGCCCCGCCATTTTCAAATTGACCAATAAGAGGCTTCAAACATGAACAGCCTTTTACAGGGAGAACGGCCGAACCGCATCGAATTTCTTGTTAGGCCTGCTCCACTATTTGTAGGCATGCATTGATGTATATAAGGCTGCTCATATTGCTAGTATGCTAAACCTGAAAACTTTTTAAAGGACAAAGGCTGACATGGATTGGATCCAACAAAACATTCTCAGCAATAGAAATGAGGGATCAAGCAAGTTGTATGCCAGCCCAACAGTATGCAACAGAGAGGTTTTTTTCGGTTGCAATTTTACCATTGATACCTGTGTATGCATGTGGTTATGGTCAGAGGTTAAATATGTTGGAAATACCTCAAAGACTTCAGCGTTTCTGAAGTGTAACACTACACTCGAGGAAAGTCGTATCGGGTGCGCGAGTCAACGGAGGTTACACGAGGAGGCTGGACGAAAGAAAACGAAAGGGTGAAGGGACTCGAAGGATCGCAACCGGAGGTTGCGATTGACCGTTGCGACTGCAAGGGTGGTAACCGAACCGACAATCGAGTCGCTGTGTGACTCGATAACCGTTCCTTCAACTGTATTCTACAACTGCTTCATTTCTTATTTTCTATATATTGATGTATGCTTGTTTCTTTTAATCAATCACTTGCTCTCACATACTAGTGCAAGGGTTCAACTACTCAACACTTCCGCTGCACTACTCAAGCATTTCATACAAGTAGAGTCTTAGTCTCTGAAAAGATCCCAGGGCTTTTCTCAGGCCAACATGGTATGAGAGCTGGTCAGAGACCAAACTCCCGTCAACAACATCCTACTTACAGCCAGCATATCAAAACCTTAATCGATTCCAAGGCATTGACAACAAGGGCAAGAATTCTTCTACGGGCTCACCCAGCGCCTAAGCCACTCAACCCGGCACTTCTGGACTTCACACCTCTGGACTACAAACCGAGACCGGCGCTGCTCAAGAAACAATAAGAAGAGTACCAGAAATGGTGACTCCTTCACCCTCTTCAGGAGTGAACCCGAACCTTATGGAAAGGTTCTTCAGCTTCATGTCGCACTTCGACCAGCAGCAGCAGACAAGGATACCTGCGCATTCAACACAGAGCAACAGAGGAAATATGGGGTTAACACCGATGAGCCTCGACAACTCATTCGGGCGGCACAACCAGGCGCCTACCTTTGCGCCTCATCACTCTTCACCAGGGACGTTCGAGTTCATGCCGCCCCGTGCTCAACTGACAGCAGCTGCATCACAACAAACACCAAACGAGATATTGAGTCTCTAGGCGCAGTTTTCATATGTGATCAAACTGCAGACTCTTCACCGTTCAACGGGCACGACTTCTTTACCTGGAGCTTCGAGTTCGAGCTGCTGATGGAGGCCGCGCACCTCTTGGGATACTTCAACGGGTCCCTGCCATTTCCAAGCAATGGCACTGCAAAAGAGCAGGAAATCTTCACCTATCAGACGCTGCTGGCATACACAGTTCTCCTGCGAAACTTGTCACCACAAGAGCAACAGAGCATCAGAACGTATCGGAGCTACGGAAACTCCGCGGAGCTCGCCTGGCATCATCTGAAATGCCTCTATCAAGCAAACGACAGTGTGACACCAAGGAAACTCATGCAGCAGTTGACAACAATACAAATGAAGACCGAGGAAAAGGCGATGCAGTATATGAGTCACTGCCAGACACTTCGCGACCGCCTGCTTCGGTGCGGAGGCACAATCACTGAAGAAAGCTTCGTGACACTTGTTCTCGCCGGGCTCGGACTAGAATGGAGAACCACCCGCTCGCTCCTTCGCGCCCACGGACGAATTTCCGAGATGCACCTCTGCGCCGAACTTCATGCTGAACAACATGAGATGGACCCGTTTGAAGAAAGACAAACCACGAAGCAAGTAGCAACCGTTAGTCTTCTACACTCAAAGAAGAAACGACAACAACCACAATCGACGCGACAAACAGAACCAACATGACACCAGTGGTCTCACCATCGTGCCGCCGTTCTGCCACAACTGTCAGACATCTGGACACTCCAAGGTCAACTGCACATGCCCTCGAGTTCATTGTCCAGCAGATCCGCAAGTCGCCTCCACTCAAGAGAATCCGCAAAGCCGTTCCTCTACACCTGCACAAGGCGCACCGAATATTATTAATTGCATGGTACGCATCGACAACTGCACACCCGGGTCACCACCCACTTATGCTCCAGACGAAGAAGAACTGTCGCCACCGCGCTCACAAGGTCTTCAGGTCAACCCCACGTATGCTGCAGTCGCCAACGCCGAACCCACCGGGCGAAACACCTGGTTCCTGGACAGTTGCTGCGGTCAACACATGTGTTCCTCAGGGCGCTTCGTGCAACAAGAATGACGCCTCAACTGCGACGTCATCATCACCATCGCCAACAATGAAAACCTGAAGACAAACAGACAAGGAGTCGTTCAGCTTCAGTCAATGGAGACAAACGTCATACTGCAACTCAACAAGTTTCTCATCGTCGACAATCTGGGATACAATTTACTAAGCGTCAGCCAGTTATTGGCAAAAGGAATTCACCTGGAATGCGACTCGGACGCCAACGAGTTTCGTCTTTATCATGGGAAGGGCGTCCTCTTCATCGGTCGCGCTCTCATGAAGTCGGGCGTCTTCGTGCTGGACTTCGTCCCCGACCGTGGTACTGCTAACAGCATCGGCATCGTATCGTTCGCTGCCTGGACGCACCCGCCCGATCTTGACCCCGACTTTAGTCCAGGCGGGTTCTGGTACTCCAACACCATCCCTGCAGCAGAGAGAACATGCGCATTAGCAGTCATTCGACAAGAACGACAAGTACCAGCAAGTATCCCTTCTCGGACATTACCTGTAATAGCAGCAGCAGGACCCTGCCGTGCGCCATCACCACCAATCCGAGGACCACCAACCGAAGCACATCAGCTCATGCCCATCATCCGAGGAGTCTGCCGCAGTCCTGCTACGATCGCCACGTTCTTCTCCAACGCCGACCTGTATCAGCGTTCTCCCGGCCATCGCGCTCCCGACGACATCTTACATCAACGACTTGGGCACCCTGCAAACAGCACCATTCTTCAAACCATACAAGCCGGAGTATTAGAAAAGGACACTCTCCTCACGACAAGCGGCGAGGAGCTTCGACAACCTCATGCACGATGCTTCACGTGCCCCGAAGCTGACCTTCCCCATCAACCTTTCCCGTCGCACCACAATCCAAGCGCACCTGCATATGCACCGATGGAAAAAGTTTACAGCGATATTTTTAACATGCCTCGAGACGACAGTGAAGCCGAGTACAGCTGCGTCATCACGTTCATCGACGCAGCCACACGATACATCTAGCACTTCAACCTCAAGACTCGTGACCAAGCGTTCGAAGCCTTCACGACGTGGCTCCCCATCGCTGAACGAGAATCGGGCTCCCAACTCAAGAGTTTCAGTCAGACGGGGCACTGGAGTATCAGTCACAAAGGTTCAAGAGCTACTTGGCGGAAAGAGGCATCAAACGCTTGGTGTCCCTGCCCTATGCTCACCAGCAGCAGGGGGTCGCAGAGATAATGAACCGCACCTTGCAGACGATGATGCAGAAGATGCTCCTGGGGATGGGACTGCCCAACACCCTTTGGCCTGACGCGATGACGCATGCAGTCCATCTCCACAACTTGCTGTCTTCGTCATCACTTCCCAACAGCGCATCACCGCACCTGCTGTGGACAGGAAAACTGGGCAGCACAAAATTACTTCGATGTTTCGGCTGCATGGTACAGTACAGACCCCACACAGCTCGAGCAGGACGATTTTCTCAACGAGCACGGTGGGGACTACACCTCGGCATCGCAAAACATTTTCACGCGTGGAAACTTTTCGACATCCTGGACAAAAACACCGTGGCCTCACGTAATGTAATTTTCTACAAGAGACTGAAGCTGCAGCATTACCTGGACAATGTCGCCAACACCGCAGACCCCACTGACGGCTTCGAGGGCCATCGGTCCTTCGCCGACCATGCTGCCAAAGCTGACGCAGCAGAAGAAGACGTACCTGAAGCCTCGGAAGCTGCCGGACCACTCCCTTACTGCTCCGGGCCCGTTCCACTCGACGACGATAACCCTCTCGATAGTAACAACCTCGACACCTACTACCACTTCGCTGACCAGGGCTACCCTACACCTCAACGGGTTGACACAAATGTCTTTGAACGCATCAGACCGAATTTCTTACCTGACCCCGAAGATGGCGACGAAGCAGCTTATCCCGGGGATGAAAATTCCCCTCGACACACACCCACGGACCTGCAGATACTTGGACTATGGGTCGCAGTCCAGAGCCCGCCGCCGCCGTCGCCGCGCGAGCCAACGACTCTATCGCAGGCTCTGGAACACAAGGCGAAATGGAAGGAAGCAATGGAAAAAGAACTGAAGGCCCTGCAAGACCGAAACACGTAGAAGCTGGTACCTGCAACAAAGACCAACGGGAGGAATGTGCTCTCGGGGAAGTGGGTGTACCAAATCAAGACTAATGCGGATGGCTCCATCGACCGCTTCAAA